ACTGTGTTGATGGTATTCAGCTGCCATCTTTCCTGCTTGGATGCATTCACTAAAAAGAAAACGACCGGGGACTGGGGCTTTTCCAGGACAGCCTGGCGGCTTCTCATTGTCTCGTTGAAATGTTGGCATTCTAGCGCTGCCTGGTCACCATGCCTGCAATCATTCTCTTCACACTGTGAAAACACTGATGCTTTGGGTTCCACCCCTGGAGAGTCCGGTTTTAATTGCCCTGGAGCGAGGCCTGGACAATCGAAGTTTTATAACTTTCTAGGTGATTCTGATGTATGGCCTTGTTAAAAAAAAGTGTTTGAGGACAGCTTCGAATGGACGAGTGATTTTTGTCCTAACACCAGAGGTCCAGGAACTTGGAGGCTGGAAGGCTATTACAGAGGAAAATTATGTACTCTGTGAGCAAGTAATTGTAACCTGAGGTTTCTTCAAAAAGGAGGAAGGATAAAAGCATACAAAGACAGCCCAGAGATTACTAACATGTGCTAACAAACCTGTTTATTTTAAACATTTGAAGTCCCTGTAAAGACACATGGTTTCCTAAGAATGTCTTTCTGGAAACTTTGTTGCCTGTTCTGCAGGGTCCCAGGAAAAGGCCGCTGGCCTGCAACTCTCCCTGGCTTATTTCTGCCAGCCATTCAGTAAGTTCAGTCACACCCAGCTTCCTTTATTTGTGCCGGAGGCCACTCAGGCCTGCATCAGAAATGCCGTCAGTCCAGCTCGGCAGCCTTCTTTGGGATGCACCTGCCCCCTAATCCTGAGTGTGTTAAGTATCTTCCTCTGCAGTCATTATTTTTAAAAGCCAAGTGTTGGGAAATGCAAACTTAAGATGACATTTTAAAACACTTCATTAAAAATTAAACTAGTTCTTGTAAGGTTAGGATAAACTATTATCTTCCCCCCCCCTCTTTTTAAAAAATATTGTATTTATTTATTTTCTTGTTGCATTTCCTCAAATCAGATCCAACTGGCACAGGAGGACATTTCCCCTCCTCCAGCAGATCATCTGGTGGATCTGAACTATGTGCTTCCAGTATTGCAGCACAGCTTTTTGCCACTAGGCCACTGTCAATGGTCTGTTTTCTCCCAGAAATCAGTTATCAGAGAATCCAGACATTAATACATGGGAAGTATTAGCACGCTCTCTGTTGTAGATGCTACCATCTTGGTGGAGGTATGACTTTGCCATATTTGGAGGTTCAGAATGGTTTAAGATGTGTACATGCATCAAGGGAGCGTGGGCGGCGTACTTCGTAGCAAGTTGCACTGCTAACCCAAAGGCTGCTCCTCTGGCAGTTCCCATTCACCAGCAGTTGAGAGGGAGAAAGACAGGCCATCATTTCTGTGTGATATATAGCCTCAGAAACTCAGTAAAGGGTCAGCTCGGAGTAATTTCTGACTCCATGGCAATGCAAGACACAGACAGGTGTCAACTAGTTAAGAGGTCCCTGTTGTTGTTATGTGTCATTGAGTCATCTGTGACTCCTAGCGACACTATGTACAACAGCCCCAAACCTGCTCTATCCTGTGCCAGTCTGTCTCCGACACACCTACCCTGATTACCCCATTCACTGAATCAAACCACCCTCCCAAGCATGATGTCCCTCTCCAAGCACTGGTCCCTCCTTGCAACATGTCCAAAGTATGTCAGACAAAGCCTCAGAATCCTTGCCTTCAAGGAGCAGCCTGGTTTAACCCTCTCTAGGTTGAAAATATTGACTTTCTTAGCAGTCCATGGTATATTCAGTACTCTTCTCCAACACCACAGGTCAAAGGCATCAATTCTCCTTCTGTCTTCCCTAGTCATTGTCCAACTCTCTGATGTATAGCAAGTGATTGCAAAGACCATGACCTGTATCAAGTGCACCTTAGTCTCTATAGTGACATCATTGCTCTTCAGTATTTTGGAGAGGTCTCTAACAGCAGACTTTCCCATTGCAATATGTCTTTTGATTTCCTGGCTGCTGGTGCCAAGAGTGTTGACGGCGGAGCCAAGCAAACTAAAGCTGTGAACAATCTCAATCTCTTCACCATCCATCCTGATGCTGCCAATTGGCCCAGTGGTGAGAATCTTTGTCTTCTTGATATTGAGCCTCAATCCATATTGAAGGCTGTAGTCCTTGACCCTCTGCAGCAAGTGCTTCAGGTCCTCCTCAGTTTCAGCAAGCAGGGTTGTGTCACCTGTATAACACAGATTGGTTTTGAATCTTCCTCCAATCTTGATGTCACATTTCTCTTCATACAGCCCAACCTCTCAGATAATCTGTTCTGCATATAGATTGAAAAAGTATGGGGATAGGACACATCCCTGGCACACACACTTCCCAATTTTGAACCATGTAGTGTCTCCTTGCTCTGTTCTGATGACTGCCTCCTGGTCCAAGTATGGGTTTCGCATTAGCATGATCAAGTGTTCTGGGATTCCCATTTCTTAGAGTCAGCCACAGTTTGTTATGATGCACACAGTCAAAGGAGATTATCTGAATAATCTGAATAGGGCTGACTGAATTAGTTAGAAGGAGCTAAACTGGCAGATGTAACTAATGTCTCAGAAAAAATTGTATAAAAATAGCTAAACGGCAGTCCAATTTACTCTGTTAATTTTCACCTAAAAGCCAAATTTAAAAAAAATAGGGGACAAGGAGGGGAAGCAGAGCTGAAGTTTCCCCTAGAGAAGGTATTCCAGCCTGTGTGGCCATCCTGCTGCTTGTCCTCTTCCCTTCTCATTGGCATCTTTATAGGTTAGCCAGCTCCCACCACTACGTAAGCCAATTTCTTGTAATAAATCTTTAGATGTTTTACTGTGCGTACATCCACTGGTTATGCCTCTCTGGTTCAAGCTTGATACATAAGCAAAGCAATGAACAAGGACGTCCACAAGAGGGCCTCATAGTTCCAACTGCAGGCACAGATTGTGTTTCCACTTTATACCATCCAAGAGAGGATTTTTACAAATTGAAGGTTTTTAGCAAGTCTGATTAAGGCAAGTCTATTAGCTCCATTTTTCCTAGATGTTCACTGTCACTGTGTCACACTTTTGATAATTCACACAATATTTTAAACTTTCCCCCCCATTCATTCACTGTTGCACTTTTCTCCCCTCTCAACCCTCTCTCCTAGTACACTACCCTCTTGGAAAAATAATTCTTTGTTTTACAATCCCTCCCCCCACATCCACTCCACCATGTAGGCTTTGCTCTAGACTCCTGGCATGACAAAAATAATCACATATCCCTTTTAAACCGTTTTCTCCCTCATCTATTTCAATGCAGTATACATTGAACCCATCTTTTGCAGTCTCCCCTCAACCCCAAGGTCAGTCCTGTTTTACAACAGTGGCACCATGCAGTATTTGTCCTTTTGTGACTGAGATACTTCACTCAGCATAATGTCCACCAGGATCACCCATTTTGAATGCTATTGCATGAGTTCCTTGTTTTTCAATACAGTGTAGTATTCCATTCATTTGTTGATGCACACTGAGGTTGTTTCCAACTCCTTGCTATTGTGAATAAAGTCACAATAAACATGAGTGTGCATATATCTGCTTGGATGCCAGTTATGGTCTCTTTGGGGTTTATTTCCAGTAGTGGAATTGCTGGGTCAAATAGATGGTATCTCTATTTGTAACTTTTTGAGAAAGCGCCATACCGCCTTCCACAGTGGTTGCACCATTTTACACTTCCACAAACAATGAATAGGGTTCCAGTTTCTCCACAACCTCACCAGCATTTGTTGCTTGCCGTTCTGCTATTCTGACTGGGGTGAGATGATATCTCATAGGTTTTTTTTCATTTGCATCTCTTAGAGCTAGGGATTTTGAACATTTCATGTGCTTGTTGGCCATCTGAATGTCTTCTTTGGTGAAGTGTCTATTCATATCCTGTGTCCATTTTTCCATTGGATTATTATATATATAATACAATAGTATACTAAGTATGTACACCCCATTTAAATTTAGAGATGAACTCAAGAATATATTTGAAGCTTAACCCAGGTTTACACCAAGGCTAACACACATGAAGAAAGTAAAAGGTAACTAAATTTTTTAGAGCTATGGAGTAAAAGAGGTGTCCAAGATCAAATCACTTTTACTAGGCATTCTCAATCTGCTAATCTCATCATTGTTTTTATCACATGAGTCAATATTTAAAGATATTGTTTAAAAAGCACTGCAACATACAAGTTATTTCAAATATTTTTATCAGTTAAGAACTCTAGATTTTACTGCATTCCAAGAGAAAACAGGGTTTCATATTTTTTTAGATAGTTTAGAAATTTTATGGTAGTTTTCCCAGTAAAAGGCCTAATATTTCTGCCAAGATAATTTTTTGCCTCTGCTGTGGACTTTTTTATTTAATGCATGAAGTAAATGTGATGTCATTTAAGGAAACACTATCTCAGGAAATGTATATAGACATTATAGATTTAAAGGATTGCTTCTCCAATTCTTTTAAAAGTAAATTGCTCTTCTAGGTTGATTCATCAACCAAATCTAAGCCACTGAATATTTATAATCTTAAAATTTTAAAGTGGTGTAGTTTTAAATATGGTGCTCATTTCAGTTCTAACAAATCTTAAGGATTTGTTAGATTTTGAGACATATGGGTAATTTGGGGTAGAAATAAATGGCATTAGATTTTAATACTTGGAAAACAGTAAAGCACTGCACACAAAAACCTTAGAGGATACTGTTTCTTTTATTTTGTACATGAAACCACTGAAGGTGCTGCCTGTTGACATCTTGGGGATCACATCATGGTCCACATGGCCCGTGACTCAGCGGGAAACACAATGATTTGGGTCGCTCACATGACAAATTCAGGTTTCCAGATGGTCAAGCTTGGCTTCGGGAGCAGCTCTAATGAAGCAGTAAGAACATGACCAGGAACGGGGAAGGGAATTAACTACCAGAGGCCCTGCAGTACTGGTCTGATGCCTGGAGCTGCCATTTGCATCAGGAGCTGACTAGGAAGCTGGCTGCCCAGAGCTTAGTTGGCGAGAGGGTTTCTGAACTTCTGGCCAGCAAACCGAGCCTTGCTGCCCAGCTCCTCTTCAATTCTTGGGAAGCAGAAAGATGGGGAAGAAGGGAAAAGAAAAGTCAACTCTCAATCCTGAGAGACGTTTTCCCACCCACAGATCCACTCAAAGGCTCATCCCTACTCCACCCAGGAAGCCAAGAAACACAGAATGCCCCTAGCTCATGAATGTTCTCTCACCCTTTCAACCTCATCTAAGACACCAAAGTAGAAGAGCATCCAACTCTGTACCCCCCAACCCATCCTGCAAACAGCTTTCCATACGTCCCCTTTCATCCTCTACACCCCATATTTGAGGAAATGCCAGGATTGCCATTTCTTAGCAATACAAAACTTTCAATACATTTTTTAAAAACGAGACTGCTCATCTTTCTCTCATGGAGCAGCTGGTGGAACTGAACCATTGCAACAGCACAACTCCTTACCAGTAGGTGCCCAGAGCTTTCTATAGCATGGGGAAGACATTTTATTTGGATGTTATGAAAACAAACCAATTAAAAAAAGTTTCCAGATAATTGAAGGAAAAAGTTTTGGTAATATTACTATTAATTCTGGGCAAGATAATGTAGAGTGGTTAGGGTAGTGCGAAAAATATTTATCTGACAGATATAATTTATGAAACACAATGTCTGCAGTGTTCTCCAGTGAGGGAAAGTTATAAATAGAAAAACAGAATAAAATTATTCACTGTTGCAGCTGAGGAATAATAGGTAGAAGGGAGTTCTATTGTTCCAGTTTTCAAGGTCCAATTTCCCAGGAGAAAGTTTTAAAGAAGTGTTAATGCTGAACCCATCAACTGATCCATGGGGAAATGGGGAGGCAGTTTCGCTCTGCTCAACAGGGCCACTAGGAGTAGGAATGGAGTAGACCACAGTACATTTACTGTGGGACAAGTTACAAAGGTAACCACACTTCTCCCAAAGACTAGAAAAAATGACCAGCATCATTATGGCTATCTGCCTTTGGGTCATCTTCTTCTATTTGCTTATTCACATAACATGGCTGCTAAACCAGATAACTGAAACAGCTCTTCTGCTAAACTACGCCAGTTGAGCCAAGATAGCACTTTGGAGCTTTAAAAATTTAAAGGTAAATTCTCCAAAGGAAGCCTTCCTTCTCTTCCACCACTAGATGGCAGCATGGTATAGAGCAGGCATCCAACTTTGGAAGCACTCCTTGGAGTGGGGGGTTCCCAGGTGCTGTTAGCTGCAAAGAGTCTAACACTGCTTCAATCTGGAATCTCTCAGACTTTCCTGAGACCATGTTTTTAGGAGGTTTAGAGTGCAGAGCTTGGGCTGAGTCATAGTCCCACAGTTATCAACTATACCCCTTTACCTGAGGATCTGGTTGTACTTGGCCAAGCGCTCAGATCGGCAAGGTGCACCTGTCTTGATCTAGAAAGAAAAAAGCTCTCATTGGCTTGTGGTCGATATGGGATTTAGGGAGAGGGGCTACAGGGAAAGGGCACCAGATCCAATCTTCCCAATAACAGAGAAGTAAGTAGCAGCATAGAGTAAGGTTGCTTTTCTGCCCTGTAATTTTTTACCTGGCCAGTGCAGAGTCCCACCACCAGGTCAGCAATGAAAGTATCCTCAGTTTCTCCAGAACGATGAGACACCATGACACCCCAACCATTGGACTGGGCCAGCTTGCAC